ATTTTTCTCCAGCTCTGTCCGAGACCCTCTGTTGTGATCCCGGTCAGAGCAGTCAGTGGTGGTAGCCAGGCACCATCTAGTTGTACTGGACTCAGTCTGGTGGAGGCCGGGGTAGTTGTGGTCTATTAGTCCTTTGGACTGATCTTTTCCTTGTATCTTGTTTTCTTCATTCTCCCTTGCTCCCGAAGGGGTGAGACCAGTGGAGTATCTTAGATGGCTGCTTATTGGCTTTTAAGACCCCAGACACTAATCACCAAGGTAGAAGGTAGAACACTTTCTTTATAAACTGTGTTATTGCAATTGAGCTAGATGTTCCCTGAGACCATGGTCCCCACAGGCTGTTAGGATTTTGATGAGAATTGCACTGAATTTATAGATTACATTGGTAGTACTAACATCTTAACAGTATTAAGCCTTCTAATCCATGAACATGCAATGCCCTTCCATGTACTTAAAAAAAACCCCAAAAACCTCACTGCTGTCTATTTGATTCTGACTCATAGTGCCCTATGGGATGGAGTAGAACTGCCCCACAGGGTTTCCAAGGAGTAGCTGGTGGATTCGAACTGCTGACCTTTTTGTTAGCAGCCAAGCTCTTAACCACAGGGCTCCATTTACTTAGGTCTTCTTTAATTTCTTTTAGTAATGTTTTCTGATTTTCAGTGTACAAGATTTTCACCTTTTTGGTTAATTTCTAGGTACTTTATTCTTTTAGATGTTATTATAAATAGAATTGTTTTCTTAATTTCCTTTTCAGCTTGCTCATTGCTAAAATATAGAAACTCGACTGATTTTTGTGTGTTTACCTTGTACCCTGCCACTTCCCTGAATTCATTTATGTAGCTCTAATGGTTTTGTTGTAGAATCTTTAGGTTTTTGTATATACAGAATCATGTCAACTGTGAAAAGGGATAGTTGTACTTCTTCCTTCCCGATTTGGTTATCTTTTATTGCTTTTTCTTGCCTAATTGCTCTGGCTAGGACTTCTAGCACAATGTTGAATAGCAGTGGTGAGAGTGGGCATCCTTGTCTTGTTCACAATCTTAAGGGAAAAACTCTCAGTCTTTCTCCATCGAGTATATTAGCTGTGGTTATTTCATAAATTGCCCTTTATTATATTGAAAATTTTCCCTTCTATTCCTATCTTGTTGAGTGTTTTTATTATGACAGGGTGTTAGATTTTGTCAAATGCCTTTTCTGCGTTGATAGAGATAATCATGTGGTTCTGTTCTTTTGCTCTGTTAATGTGGTGTATTACATTGATTGATTTTCTAATGTTGAATCACCCTTGCATTACTGGGATAAATCTCACGTGATCATGGTGCATAATCCTTTTAGTATGCTTTTGTATTCAGTTTGCTAATATTTTGTTGAGGATTTAGGATTCTGTATTTTAAGCCCCCCACCCCACAACAAATTGTTAAACTCAAAACAATTTGAGAACACTGCTTTAGGCCCCGTGGTTCTTCCTGGGCCTCCGCCTCTTGGACTGAAAGGTCTGGAGCTCAAAACCGTTCCAAGGTCAAGACCCCCCCCCCCACTTCCCCTAGAGGTTCCTTGTTGCTCAAAGATACTAACAATCACAAAGATGGCGCAGAATCGGGCAACATTTCGTTCTGTTATGCATAAGGTTGCCATGAGTAGGAGCTGACCGGATGGCAACTAACAATAACAATAACAACAACATAGGTATTTGCTATCATTTTCCTGATGAAGGATCCATTTTATCACAGGGAAAATTTCCAATGGCCCTCTGCTTCTGAGTCCCGAACTTGAGAGGATGACCTAAGAGGAAGCTGAACATCAATCAGTTATCCATGAGGTACTGAGTGAGAGAGAAGTGTCCTAGGGTGCCTCTGGAGCTCTGTCTCTCTACGCCCAAACCCAAAGCTCTGCTTCATCTCATGGCTACCTGGCCACTCCCTGGAGCAAGATATTTCAGGTCAGAGAATGTACATGTGTAAAACAGAACATGCTCCTTTGTCAAACAGCCAAATGACTCCTAAAGAAAGATCCTTTACATTTGAACTCTTCCCAACACAGATTCTATTTCACTGAAACTTAACAACTATTTGTGTTCAAATACCACTTAGGAAGTCTTGGTATATCCCCATGGGTACAAGTTCCCCAGTGTGAAGATCACTACAAGGTTTACACTATCACAGAGCCCAGCACAAAGTTAGTGTTCTAATCCATGCTAGTTGAATGAGTGAGTTCTCATTTAATAAAGATTTTTATAATACCCATATGTCCTAATTTTTCCCAGCATGACCTTGATTTCATGTTATTATTTTAAATAAAAACAAGCTATAAATATTTAACTGAGTAGGGTTTAATTTTTAAATGATTATATGACTTTTCACATGAAGTGAATCTGTTACTTATTTTTTAAAGGTTAGCCATATGTACCAAATATGTGCCAGACACTCTTCCCTAACCGTCTCTGAACATGTTCCAATTTGACTATACCATTTTTGAAGGGTGGTACCCAGAACTGAACCCAATGGTCTAGGCATATTCTGACCTGCTGAGCACAGCTCTGGGGTGATGCATTGAAACTACCAAATTTGTGTTGTTTAAGTGATGAAACCCTGACTGACCTGATGCCAAAACCACATGACTCTTTTCACCCTACTGAAAAAAAGCTAACCTCAGCTGTGTACAGCTCCCTGTTTTATACTTTCTAGGGCAAAGTCTATACTCTGCTAATATGGCATCCCCTGGGAATTCCTTCTGGGATAAACCATTGTATAAGTTTCTAGAATTTGCATTTATTAATACCTCTTTGTCAATTGTAATTTGCTCTACTTATATTTAGGATTATGAAGACACCATCTCAGGTTTCTGCCAAGCAAAAACATTGTTTGGAGATAAGTACTTAAGCATTTACTGAATTTCTACTGTGGAGTCAGTCCAAGTAATATGATGGGGTACCTGCCTTCAAAGAGCTCACAGTCTAGTTAGGAATACGAGGCCAAACACACAAAACATCAGCCCATAAATAAAATTAAATGTTCAACCATTCTTGGAATAGCATAGGACCTATTACACAATAATATAATATCATCATACCACTGGCATATATTTGCTTCTGTCTTGTCTATCCCTTCTAGAATGGCAGTACCATGAGAGGAGAAACATTTTTTGTTCATGCTATTTCCCAGTGCCTGGCACATAATTAATGCTCAATAAATATTTGTTGACTGAATAAATAAGATGTTAAGTTCTTAGAATGGACAGGGAAAGAGAAAGTTTCATGGAGAAGTCCTCCCCGATGAGCCTTGACTTAACTACACTTTTATTCTACATATTTTAGCAAACAACCTCTTCCTTATTTCTATAATTAGGAAATGTTCATCTAATTAAAATAGAAGATAGGGGTGGGGTGAAAGAAATTTAAATTGGGTGTTAGGACCCCTGTGGCCCTCTTGCTGATTTCTAAAAGGAGGGGTTTGTTCTAGAATCAATGGTTTCAAACATTGTTCTAAAGTGGGAGAACCCCATTTTCAAACAAAACCCCAACAAATGAAACAAACAGAAGCAGAGTTGCTCTGGTTGACTATGGGTGGAGTGGGTAAGAGGCGGGGAGTTCCACTCTCTTCAGCCCCCTCACTCCCACCACAGAACTATGGTTTCTGCGAGATTCTAGGAACACAGTTTGAAAAATCACTGGACTAAAACAACTCCAGAGTCTCTCCTCTCTCAAAATTCTATTTAATGGAAGCAGCTGAGGAGGGGCCAGGTCTTGGTGATGTAAGACCTGGGCTCCCTTCCCGTCTCTGTCACTTTAAGCTGAGGGAGTACCAGCAGTCAGTTACCTGAGAGAAAGAGTGAGAAAGAAAAAAAAAAGGGGGGCCTGGGCTAAGACCAATGTCTCTTCTCGTGGCCAGACCAAGGGAACTAAGGTCACATTTCTCTGGCCCAAGACTGATAAGAGCTAATTTACTTACGTGACCTGGCCTTGACCCTGGCTTATCTCCCCTCTCCCCGTTATTTTTCAGAACTAAAGGCACTCAAACTCACCTGGCAATTTCTCTGGGGTTCAGAGGTGAGCAGACTCTTATACAGAGTGAATACCCAGTCTGGCTCCAACACAGAAGAGAGAAGGGTCTGACTTGTCACCATTCTCCACCTTGTACAACCTCTCAGTCGGCTTCAGACACGCAGAGAGGAAGGAGCCCTGCAGACATAAGGCTCAAAGGGTCGCTGAGGAGGGTTTAATGAAGGGATTATTTAGCAGGGTGTGGTCAGATTTACGATAGGGTCGCTATGAGTGGGAATCGACTAGACGGCCAACAGGTCGGATCAGATTCATCGCAACCGACAAAGGACTGTAAAGCACTCAGGTACTAGCAACAGCTGGTTACCACCACTAGGCCTGAAAGAGCAAGGAAAAGGAGCTGTCACCACCCAGTAGTTTTTGCATTTTGATCTTCACAAACAACTCGGGTAGCTTAGGCAAAAATACCATATCCAGGTTACAGGTGAGGAAACTAAGGATAAGGAGAGGATAAGATAAGGAACACAGGATATGGAATCCCCCAAGGGAAGGACCCAGGGGCAGCCGAGTCACTTTAAAGGCTCTCCCTAGGGCCAGCCAGGCTACCGGCCTTACTAAGACTTTCCCTGCCAGCAACCGACAAAACTGACCAGAAGAGCCTAACTACGACAAGCTGAGACTACAACTCCCGGCATCCATCTATCCGTGTCTATCTCAAACCTTTCTACTCGAGGGTAAAAGGACTTCCGGAAGAAGTGCCTATCGGGACCTGTAGTCCACCTAGTTGGGGCAGTCCCTGGGCCGTCGCGTGCTCATTGGCTTCCAGGTCACCGCCCCCTTACCCTCGCCTCACGTCGGTATCTCGAGCACGCACGCGCATCGCGTACTCACGCCCCCTCTCCCGAGTCTAGGACGCAGGCGCGCGCACGCTCCCGGGGCCCGGTGGACGGGGGATGGGGGGAGGGGGGGAGTTAGGTGTCTACTCTGGTTAAGTAGACGGCGGTGGGGCACGAAGAACACAACGGCCTGGCCGCCGGGCGGGTGAGCTCTACACTGGGCCTAGGGCCGCCGGGAGGGGCCGGAACCTAGTCAGCACAACCTGCGAGTAGGCGTTGGGCCGCTGAGACCCGGAGGGCAGCAAGGGGCGAAGCCCCGGTCTAGGCCCTGCGGAGATGTCCGGCTGCGGCGCTTGTACTTGCGGCGCAGTCGCTGCGCGGCTCATCACCTCCTCGCTCGCCTCCGCGCAAAGAGGTAACGAAGTAGTTCCTTGCGTGAGCAGTCGGTGCTGGGGGAACCGGCCGGCTGACGGGTGGCGACCCCGGGGAGGGCACGGGGGTGTGAGGCGATGCTCGGCGTTTTGCCTGGCAACACCCATTCTCCCCGTGGGATGGGGCTTTGCCAACCTCCGGAGCAGCCGTTTCCCAAATTTGAAATAAACCTCTTGTGCTGCCCCTCCCGCGCGCCCTAAGGCCGCCAGACTTTGGGGCCGAAGTGCGGCCAGTTCGCGGAAACTCTGGAAAGAGTTACAAGCTGTTCCTGTCATTTAAAGTTTCCCCAAACCCCGAGCAGAGCACTTCCGTGACCACTGCCTCCCCAACTGCGGCTCCCCTTCCGGAACCTGGCCAGCTTTCCCTTGGGCGCTCCGGAAGGGGCTCGGGCGAAGGGCTGTCACTGTTGGGGTCCCCCCGGAATCGCGCGGCGCCGAGCCGGCCGTCCCGGACGCAGACCACGCGAGGACCGCGGTGTCACTGTCATTGTGCGGCCACCGACACCGGGACATAAACAGGCTCACAATACTTCCCGGCGCCTCGGGCTCCCGACCCGGGAAAACCTTGAGCCCGGCAGGAAGGCGTCCAGGCCGTCTGTAGAAATCCCGCAGGAATTCTTTTTGAAATGCTTAGGTGTATCAGCAGTAGTTTCCCGGCTTTCCCAACTTGACAGTTCGAGATAGTTTTTTAAGGGTGGCGCTTGTTTACCTTTCCTTTCTGTTTATCTGAAGCTGTGAAAGAGTGCCACCCCAGCCAAGAGATTCCAAAAAAGAAACCATTTTTCTCTTCTCCAAATCTAGAGTATCAGACCACGAGGCTAGATTCTGTTATATCACCAACTTCTAAAGGAATTTATCTTATTTGGACTCAGCAGTTTATATGATACTTGGATAAATTTAAAAAAATTCCTTTTACTGATTTCTAGGTTGATTATAAGATCCTTACCATTTACTGAATGTGTGTTTTCTAACAGCTTATTCGTAGAGGGACTAAATGAGGTTATGTGTGCAGAAGCATTTCGTAAAATGATACATATAAGGTAGTGAATTAATTCTAAGACGTTGAACCTCAGCATGTAGATGTCCCTGTTCCAGGAATTTGATTTGGAAACGCTTGAAAGTGACACGTATTTTTAATTCATTTATTTAACAAATACTTGTTGAAGGCAGATATGTGCCAGGAACTGTTGTGGTGTTGGAGGTAAAGTGAACACGTCCTCACCCTCAAGTTTAAATCTAATGGAGTAGACAGTAACCTTTTCTAGGGATGGCTAAAGCATGTGTGTGTTCTCTTTGGTCTGGAAAGGCTTCTTGGAGAATGTTCTTGATACATCTCAGCTACGAGTTGCTGAAAACTGAGTCATAGAAGATGTGCAGTTATGTTTTTCTTTTCAAACAACTATTATTTTCTTTAAAAAATTAAATTTATCATTATTGGGAGCCCTGGTGGCACACTGGTTAAGAGCTTGACTGGTAACCAAAAGGTCGACAGGTTGAACCCACCAGCAGCTCCTCGAAAACCCTGTGGGGCAGTTCTACTCTGTCCTATAGGGTTGCTATGAGTCGGGATCAACTCCACGGCAACGGGTTTGGTTTTTTGGTTTATCATTAAGTAGGAGTCCCTGGGTGGTGCAAATGCTTAACCTGCTTGGCTGCTAACTAAAATGTTGAAGGTTGGAGTCTACCCAGAGGTGCCTCGGAAGAAAGGTCTGGCCATCTACTTGCAAAAAATCAGCCATTGAAAACTCTATGGACCACAGTTCTCCTCTGACATACATGGGGTTACCATGAATGAAGTCAGCTGGAGGGCAACCTTTCTTTTATCTTTAGGTAAATCAACACAAATGAATGGTTTATTTAAGAATTATTGTCTACTCATATACCCATTAATATAAATTTGCCAGGGGTTTTCAGAAATACAGAGCCATTATTTTCACTGTTAAGGCCAAAATTAAGCTTCAAATATGACAGTACCCGATCTAGTTACAGAATTTAATTTTTTCTATAACAGTTAAATGGCAAATGGTTTTCACATTCATTTAAGACTTCCCAAACTTTTGTTGTTAGGTGCTGTCGAGTTGGTTCTGATTCATAGTAACCCTATGTACAACAGAACAAAACCTTAATTTCACGAAGTATTTATTTCTCATAGTAGAAACACTATCCATAAATCTACAAGAGCATGAAAATATTTTCTGTAAGCACTTAAAAAAAAAAAAAGCTAGGAGGGCTATTTTTATTTAACATTCCTGGGAAGCGGAAGGGGGGGTGTGGATAAAGAAAAGTCAAGGCTAAAATTTGTCTACTTTATTATTATTCTTGTAAACAGTAGAATTAAGAATTTCATCAGAATAATCTAACAAGAAATTGTGAGAGGATTGCCTGTAAAATGAATTCAAGAATAGAAGGAGAGATTTCAGAGCTCTTCTTTATTCCCATGGGCTTGTCATTAGACTTTAAATTTTAAATGGTAGCTTGAAAATAATTATTTGGTAAATTAATCGTACTAGATCCTGATCTTTTTTCTTTTTCTACGCTATGTCTGTCCAATCAAATGTGTTTTCTCTCACTAAACCAAAAAACCAAACCTGTTGCCATCAATTCGATTCCGACTCATAATGATCCTATAGAACAGAGTAACACTGCCCCATAGGGTTTCCAAGGAGCGGCTGGTGAATTCGAACTGCTGACCTTTTGGTTAGTAGCCAGCTCTTAACCACTGCGCCATTAGGACTGCTTTCTCTCACTACTCCCTTTGAATTTGAGAACTATAGTAAAGTAGAAATTTAAAGAAACTTTTTTCCCACCCACATTGCTAGTGTTTTTTAATTTTTGTTTTTTAAAAATATGCTTTGAATATATATAGGTCGATTGGTATTCTAAATGAGGGCATTCAGAAATTCTTAATTCCAGTTTAAAAATTCACAATGACGATACATGATCCGAATTTAGCTAGAGGAATTGTGGGATCCCCAGTAACCTCCTTGATTTCTGACTGCCTTCTATCCTTTTTCATTCAAAGGGTGTCACCTTATGAGGGTGTAAGTGAAGAGGTGAAGATTCTCAAACACGTTACCTTCCATCATTTTCGTGATAGTTACGTAATGTGTCTACCTAGCAATTCTCAGCTAAATTTTAATTCTCTCTCTCTCTTTTTTTTCTTTTTGGTAGTTTCAATACAGTACAAATTCAATAAGGCGAAGTGAACAAATGGTAAAGCATTTTTATTTCTGCATTGCAAACCATTTCTGAATCAACATTTTTTTAATTCATCTTCAGACCAGCAGATCGCCTTAGTGAAAACCGATTATATATTTTCAGAATTGAGAAAAGCTGTCAAAGGAATTATATTTTTCTTTATTGAGAAGTATTCAGAATTCATGAAACATGAAATGAAGATTAGGGATTAATAAAATCAATAAACCAGCTACCAAGTTGCTAGCGTTGCTTGTTTTTGTTCAGATATTTTTTTCAATTTGTGTTAGAGGTTAGAGGTCACATGTTTAACCAGACATTTAACTTGATTTGCCGTTTCATCAATTGTACATTTAAATATTGTCACTGCAAATGGATAATAATTTTTAGTTTTTCATTAGTTCTTTCACTAATTTATTTCTAAAACAAAAATTTATTTTTAAAAACGTCTGCTTTGAAACTCAGAAAGCTTTATCTATTTGACACAAGTTCTGTAAATAGTTAAACTTTTAACTGTCTTCTATCATTGCTGCCAAGTAGTCTTGCAAAATATGATACTTTACATGAAATACTTATCATTTTTGGCTTCTAGGGCTTCCTTACCTGGGATTCACAGGTCCCCAAGGGTCTGTGGATGAAATTCAAAGGATCTGTGATCTGTATTTTCACTAACTTCTAACTGAAATATAGCGTTTTCTTCCGTTATGAATGTAGCAACAAACCACAGCAGTATTGGCAGTATCTTTGCATTTGTCACCAGTCGAGATCACACGTATTTTCAAATCATGTTACAGTTGTTGCTGATATCTCAAAATATTTTTTATGCTTTTCGTTAGTGAAATTATGGTAATTATTAGAACTGCTGTCTGATCTTATTTAATTTTGTTTGTTAATAAAAAAGCACATTTTAAAATATTTTGATAAGTAATATAATTGGTTTCCTTTATTACATTATGTATTTTATTTTATACATTTAAAAACATTCAAAGATGAGGTTCATACCATACTGCCAAAAGCATAATAAGGGTTAAAAAAAAATCCTGATTAGTTTGCTGCAGTGACATATATTTTATATGAAGATTTTATAAGATCTACTGGTTAATGGTCATTTTAGTTATTTTGTGCAGTGTTTTTTTTTTTTTAAGTATTTTATTGTGTTTTTGGTGAAATTCTACACAGCAAATTAGGTTCCAATTTGATAATTTCTACACAAACTGTTCAGTGACTGACATTAGTTACCTTTTTTTCAAACTGTGTTAACATTCTCTTTAATTGCATTCTGGTTGTTTTGTTTCCAGTACTCTATAGTTTCCCAGCTCCTCAGTACAGTGGTTTTAAAATTGTCCCCACACCAGCAGCATCAGCATCAGCTGGGAACTTGTTAAAAATGCACTCTTGGATCCTACCCCAGACCTGAGTCAGAGTCAGGGAGGAGCTTGCAATCTGTGTTTCAACAAGCCCTCCAGGTGATTCTGATGCATGCTCAAGTTTGAGAGCCAGTGGAGCCCTGGTGGCGCAGTGGTTAAGTACTGCAGCTGCCAGCCAAAAGGCTGGCAGTTCAAATCCACCAGCTCCTCCTTGGAAACCCTATGGGGCAGTTCTGTTCTGTCCTATAGGGTCACTATGAGTCGGAATTGACTCGACGGCAGCGGGTTTTTTGGTTGGTTTAGTAGTTATGACATCCTTTTGGTACAGCAGATACCTTTGTTGCTAGTTGTTAGCTGCTGTTGAGTTAGCCCCCTGCACTCATGGCAAGCCTACGCACAACAGAACAAAATGCTGCTAGATCCTGCACTATCCTTATGATCAGTTGTGGATCAGACCATTGTGATCCATAGATTTTCATTGGCTAATTTTCAGAAGTAGATCGCCAGGCATTTTTTCTTAGTCCATTTTAGTCTGGATGCTCTGCTGGAACCTGTTCAGCATCATAACATTCAAGCCTCCATGACAGACAGTTGGTGGCAGTGCATGAGGTGCATTGGCTGGGAATGAACCTGGGTCTCCTGCATGGAAGGTGAGAACTCTACCACTGAATGACCACTGCCCCGCCCATACTGAGTCAACCCCAACTCATGTCCACCCTGTGTGTATAAGAGTAGAACTGTGCTCTGTAGTGTTTTCAGTGACTGATTTTTCAGAAGTAGATGGCCAAGCCTTTCTCCTGACGTGCCTCTGGGTGGACTGGAACCTCCACCCTTTTGTTGAGCAGCTGTCTTAATTACTATTGCTGCTGTGACAGAAATACCGTAAGTGGGTGGCTTTAACAAACAAATTTATTGTCTCACAGTTTAGGAGGCTAGAAGTCAGAATTCAGGGTGTTGGCTCTGGAGGAAGGTCCTTGTCTCTTTGAGCTTCTGCTCCTGGGCGATCTTCATGTGGCTTGGCATCTCTTTTCCCCCATTTCTGCTTACTAGCTTGCTTGTTTAATCTCTTATATCTCAAAGAGATTGACTCAAAATATATCCTAATCCTACCTCATTAAGATAAACACAGCCCATTCACCAATGGGATGATAAGCACAGGCAGAGGTCAGGATTTACAACACATATTTTTGGGTGACACAGTTCAATCTATAACATCAGCTGAGCGCTTAGCCGTTTGTACCACGCAGGGACTCCGTGGTGACATTAGGTACTATAAATTATTAAACTATTTAAAGCTATATATTGTAGTGTAAATGGGAAACAATACACTATGTGTGGTACTTCAAGGTTAAATTTTGCTCTAAACATCCAAGTACAAATAGCCTCACCTAAGTGTTGTAATAATACAGTATATAGTTTTCTTTGGGAATGCATCAAATGGCTCAATTAAAAAGTTATACTTGTTACATAGATTAAATAATAAATTATTTGATTATGCTACCTTTCATAGGCTTGCATTTTTTAATTTACAGACATTTTCAAACACACAAAATAGAACAGTGAGCCCCCAAATACCCATAACCCAGCCTCAGCAACCACTGACTTTCTGCATTCTTGATTTCGTCTATCGCTCCTACCCCCTCATTACTTCTAGGCCTGCTTTTTAGTTTTACCTAGTCTGTGCAGCGGTTAAAAGTTCGGCTGCTAACTAAAAAGGTCGGCAGTTTGAATCCACCAGCTGCTCCTTGGAAACTCCGTGGGGCAGTTCTGCTCTGTCCTCTCGGGTTGCTGTAAGTCAAAATCGACTCAACGGCAACAGGTTTGGTTTGGTTTCTGAGTCTTTAAATAAGGAGCCCTGGTGACACAGTGGTTAAAGCGCTTGGCTGCTAACTGAAAGGTTGGTGGGAAAGCCACTTCGTGGGAGAAGGATGTGGCAGTGTGCTTCCTTAAAGATTTCAGCCTATAAACCCTATGGGGCAGTTCTGCTCTGTCCTATAGGGTTGCTGTGAATGGAATCAACTCGATGGCAGTGGGTTTGGTTTTGGATTTGGGAGTCTTTACATGATAGTATGGCCTTGGAAAAACATTAACATTTAGCTTAAAATGAACTAATTACCTTAAATCTCATTCTACTGAGAGAGTAATGGCTCATTTAGTACAAGAAATGGGAATGTTTCAATTAAGAAAATTTGAAATGTCTTTTGAAAACATTACTTAGAAGAAAAACATCAAATGTTTATTTTTTTCGTATTAGTATTCAAGTTCAGTAGTGTTAAGCAGAGTTTTACAGTCTCTGTTTGAGGGAGTGGGGTGTCATAAACCTTTTGAGAGGCAGGAAAATTTGATTTCTCCTATTTGTATCTTTCCTGAGAAGAGGATGTTTTACAGGTTCCTGAAAAGTTTGGCAGGTTCACTTTTGTACTTTGTGCAACTTTATTGGACAGCCTAGGGAGTAAAGAGGTGAAGATGCTCAGACTAAATAACTAAAGAAACCAGTTGTTCTAACAGTGCACACTGTTGGAAAATTGGAGTTAATAAAACCAGTCAGTTGTATAACTAAGCAGTTGTCTTGGAGTTGTTTGAAGGGCATACTTTTAAACCAGTTTTTGCATTTGGACACATGTATGTGCACACATGTGCATGATCTGATAAAAGTCCTACCAGGTGTAGAAAACCAAAACTTAGTCTGGGCTGGGAATTGTGCTTAGAATGAAATGAGGGAGACAAAATCAGTTTCTTAAATTTATTTCAGTAGTAATTACTCTTTTTTTTAACTTTATTACCTCCTGATAGCATTCTTTTTGTGTGTGTGCTTTAGGTGAAAGTTTACAGAGCAAATTAATTTCTCATTCAAAAGTTTATACACAAGTTGTTTTGTGACATTGGTTACAATCCACGCAGTGTGTCAATACTCTCCCCTTCCCACCCCGGGTTCTGTATTCCCATTTGTCCAGTTTTCCTGTCCCTTTCTGCCTTCTTATCTTTGCTTTTGGGCAAGTGTTGTCAGTTTGGTCTTATGTACTTGATTGATCTAAGAATCAGGTTCCTCACGTGTGTTATTTTTTGTTTTATAAAAAACCAAATCCACTGCAGTCAAGTCGATTACAACTCATAGCAACCCTATCGGACAGAGTAGAACTGCCTCAGAGTTTCCGAGGCTGTAAATACGGAAGCATACTGCCACATCTTTCTCCTGTGGGCTAGTTGGTGAGTTCAAACCACCAACCTTTTGTTTAGGAGCAGAGTGCTTTAACCACTCGGCCAACAGGGCACCTTCGTATATTTTATAGGCCCATCTCATCTTTGGCTAGAGCCCTGGGGGTGCAGTGGTTAAGAGCTCGGCTGCCAGCCAAACTTCCCAGCACCTAACAACAACACAATCTTTGGATGAAAGGTGAAGTTCGGGAGTGGCTTCATTTCTGAGTTGGAAGGGTGTCTGGGGACCATATTTTTTTGGGTTCCTCCAGTCTCTGTTAGACCAGTAAGTGGTCTTTTTTGTGAATTTGAATTTTGTTCGACATTTTTCTTCCGTTCTGTCTGGGACCCTCTTGTGATCCCTGACAGAACCATCGGTGGTGGTAGCCAGGCACCATCTAGTTATTCTGTGCTCAGGCTGGTGGAGGTTGTGGTGCATGTGGTCCGTTAGTCCTTTGGACTAGTATTTGCCTTGTGTCTGTGGTTTTCTTCATTCTCCTCTGCTCCAGATGGGATGGGACCAGTATACGTATCTTAGGTGGCCACTCGCAAGCTTTTAAGACCCCAGACACTATTCACCAAAGTAGGATGTAGAACAATTTCTTTATGAACTATGTTATGCCAATTGACTTAGATGTCCCCCAAGACTAACAGCATTCTTAAAACTGTTGGAAAACTTCCTTCTTGGCAATTTATTAATGCATGTTAGCTTATGCAAGGTTCTGAGTGGCTCTGCAGTACTGAAATCTATGGAATTGTGTTTAACCTCAGACCATTCAACTTATTTGTGTAGGGAACACTCTTTTAAAGATACACAGATTAATACTATTTTAGGAACTGCTATCGCACTGTATGCACTATGGCTTTTTTGCCATTGTCCATAAGTTATTTTGGGATTTATTTTGGATATAAGAATTATGTGAGAAAAATCAGGGTCAGCAAATAATGATCCTATGGGCCAAGTTTGTCCACATCCATTTGTTTACATTCTGTCTGTGGTTGCTTTCTTGCTGTAACAGAAGAGGAGTTGGGACTGAGACCATATGGCCACAGAATTGAAAATATTTACTATCCTGGTCCTTTACAGAAAAAATTTGCTGACCCCTGAATGGGCCAGTGATTAACATATATTCCTTTTAAGAATGTTAATGTCAAATACGGCAGAAGGTAAAAATGTTTGAAAGCAGGCTGCTGGTTACATAATATTTATTGAATTATATTTCTTTTTTTTGTGAGATTGAAATATTAAATTGTGTGTGTTTGCCTTGAACAGCAAGCACATAACTTTTAAAAGAACATTTAAAGTTTGTTTCCAAGTTATAAGGATTACCCCCATATAACCAAAGAGGCAGGCAAGAGTTACTGTCAGATACTTATTGGTAAAAATACTGTAAGAAGAATAAGAATATAGGGCATAAATGACTTTTTTCCCCTATGGGCGAGGCAGATTTTGAACTCCTTATCTCTTAGACTTTGAAAGAGTCATATAATGTTGTGACCTGGGTCGTATCATCTTGCCTCCCTTCCAAAGGACACACCTGGAAAGAAACATCTTCATTCAGCTGGAATCTGTCTGATCCCCAGGCTGGCCTGTAACTGAGAGGGCTTTGCCTCTGATGGAAACCCTGATGGTGTAGTGGTTAAGTGCTACAGCTGCTTAACCAAAAGGCTGGCATGTTCAAATCCACAAGGTGCTCCTTGGAAGCTCCATGGGGCACTTCTCCTCTGTCCTATGGGGTCACTATGAGTTGGAATCGACTTGATGGCAATGGGTTTGGTTTTTTTTGGTTTGCCTCTGGCAGTGTCGCTATTTCCTCTACCTGTTGGTGTGGCTGCTGTGAAAACAAGCTTTTTTCAGCCTTCTTTATGCTCAAGGAGTTTTTGTTTCCAGGGGATTTATTGGAGCATGTCTATGTTTGATGTGTAGACTAATAGATTTCATTTTATCTTCAGGTATTTCTTGTGGTCGCATTCACATACCAGTTTTAGGAAGGCTTGGGACCTTTGAAGCTCAGATTTTGCGAAGAGCTCCTTTTAGAACCTTTACAGAAACACCAGCATACTTTGCCTCAAAAGATGGGATAAGTAAAGATGGCTCTGGAGATGGAAATAAGGTCATTGTTTTATCTTTATTGGCACCTGTCTGTGCGTTTGGGGTCCCTCCTTTAAACAATTTAATATTAATACTCAGGATTCTGTTAGCTTATATATGTTTTTTGTATGAAATATGAAATACATAAAATGATCTGAAGAATTTTATGTAATTTTATTTTGTGTTTCAGTTTGAACTATAAAATACTTTTATAAGCATTGCACTTAGTAAGCAGTAATCTGAAATTTCCAACACCCCAAGGTAATAAAGCAGGTTCCTTAAATACCCAATGTAGTTAGTCAGTGGGAGTGAGTTAGAGGTAGCCATCATTTCCTGCATTCATTTAATTCTTACAACTCATGATGGTAGAAACTTGCTTCATCCTCCACCTAAAAATCTTGGATTTCTGGTATTAATATGGGGCTATTTTGTAGCTAGTAAGTAGATGATTGGTGGTTGTATTGGGCAGTGAATTACTATCAATTTCTTTTCATTATGTACATTTGACTAACATTTGAGCTAATATTATATCTAGACAGAATGCTAGGTACTTTCATACCTGCACATAATCCCAGTAGTGACTCTCCAAAATAGGTGAAATTATCCCCATTTTAAAGGTGAGAAAAGTTAAATCAAGCATATTGAGTCCCTAGCTGCCATGGTATTAACTCCTGGTTCAACTTCATTAAAATGTAGTTTGTTTGTTTGTTTTTTTACCTATAATAACTTTTTTATTGTGCTTATTGAGTCATTGAAAGAAAGCTATTTATTATACATGCTGGCATATACCATGTGAAGAAGGAATACATATGTATTCATTAGAACTGATTTGATTTTTGTGGTAATATATTTTTTGACACCAGTGATAGTAGAGATACTAATTATATAATTCCATTCTAGAAATTATAGGATTAATTATAAACTATATAGTTTACATTTAAATTATTTATTAAAAACTTGTCTTAAAAGTAGTAATTGGCACTCTTTTTTTCTCCTCCACAAACATTAGAAATCAGTAAGTGATGGAAGCAGTAAGAAATCAGGCTCTGGGAATTCTGGGAAAGGTGGAAACCAGCTGCGCTGTCCTAAATGTGGTGATTCGTGCACACATGTAGAAACCTTTGTGTGTAAGTATTGTTTCTTCTAGTGTCCTTCATTTCCCCCTGCCTTTTCTATAAATTTATAGAAATATATAAATTATATACACCAGAGTTATTTTTTTCCTGGGCTTACATAATTTTCTCTTGTGTTTACCAGATAGTAAAAATCCCCAGGAATGATATACTTTGCACTGTGGTGTAAGAGATAATTTAAGAAAAATATTTGCTTGTTTTTGTTGCTTACATGTATTTATTTCAAATATGGATTTTGTGAGTTTCGGCGTGTGTGGCCATTGGGCTGTAGGAAAACCAAGGCTTGTTTATCCTGTGTTTATTACTGCATTCTTGAAATACTTATTGAGCATCTCATATGGCCGTGGAGGTCAGCAATTCAGATGGTAAGGTACTTGCCCTCTCAGAGTATCTACCAGAGGAGGTGAGCCCTCAATTTAAGAAGTGCCTGACAATTTTTAATGATTCAGACACTGAGAAGAGGAAGAAATCAGTTGTCCTACTTTTGCAGTTAGTGTCAGTAACTCTGAAATGCAAAGATGCTATTACACATACTTTGTTTAATGAATCAGATAACTCATTGCCTACAGGATTAGGGTTAATAGTTGTGACTCAAGGGTAAGTTAATTGCACTACCATGTCAGTCTTCCTGTACAATCCAGTTCTGGGAAGATTGATGGTCATGTTTGACAGGACTTTCAGTTTGTGATAATTAGCTGGAGAGGATTTTCTATATTCTAGTGCTAATATTGAGGCTTAGTTAAAATTTCACATTTACCATTAATATTAACTGGCCATCGTAGGAAAAAAAAAATACTATATGTGGCATGTGTTCACAGTTTTGGAAAGACTTAAAGTAGCTCCTGCTCTGACCAGGATCACAACAGAGGGTTCTGGACAGAGCTGGAGAAGGATGTAGAGCATAATTCTACTCACAAAAAAAAAAAAAA